CCCCCCCCCCACCGCTGCTGCTGCTGCCTTTGGACTCTCCACCTGGGTTCACAGACCACAGGGGTCACAGACCACAGGGGAACACATTTACTGACATTACTGAGACACTGTGTCCCCTGAATCCATCGTCATTTTTAGCTACAAATACACGTCATAGATGAACAGCACTCACAGTGGCCACATCTGGAGACGTCTTCCATCTGGATCTGAAGCTGGTTGATCTGGTTCTGGATGCGACCCAGGGCTTCATTTGATTTGTTCCTCAACCTTCGCAGCTCCACATCCACTTTACCACAGAGGTCACAGTCCTGGCCCAGCATCTCCACCTCTGTCACGATACGGTTGAAGTGTTCGCCGTGGTCGCCAGTCAGAGCCTTGATCTTCCGAACATCGTGGCTCAGGTCCGTCACCTGCATCAGCATGATCATTTTTAGGACTGTGAACAGTTACTAAAGTTATTGGTGAGATTATTATGGTTTGTGTTTTTGTTTTACTAGTTTTGCTCATACTGAGACTTATATTATGAGGTGACTTTTACACAATGATATATGCAATATCGTCAATGGCCACAAGAGGTCGCCATCTAAGCTCACGACTTTTATATGAAGACAATGCCATATCGTCTATGGCCAGAAGATGGCGCCATCTAAGCTCAATGAACACTTACTTCACTGTTGAAAAAGCAAAAACTAAAACTAAGACTTCCTTAAAGAAATTTGGATTTAAATAAAAACATATCATGTATTCCTACACGGAGCTTGTTTTTGTTTCTTTTCGTGACCAACCTCTTTTAAAATATAAAACAAGCAGTCGAGGTTTCTCTGTCAGCTAAAAAACGTCCAGTTTGTTGGGTTCTTCTTCATGAACTGGTCTCAGCTGGACCAGGTGGACCTGTGCTACTGTTTGTTGCTGCTGCTTCTGGACCAGTAGACGTTCTGCTCACCTGCCTGTGTGTTTTTCTCACCTTGTTGTAGAGAGAGTCCCCAGACACCGACAGGTCTTTGAGTTGAGTGTTGAAGTGCTGGATCTGGTCCTCGTTGGCGACCACTCTCCACTCCAGAGACTTCTCTGTCGACTTCTCTGGTTGTCCTCCTGGATCAGGTGACCCTCGGTCTGCACCTCCTCTGTTTCCAGCTCCACCCGGACTGCCCCCTCCCTCTGGGCCCACTCCGCCTTGTCCTGGACTAAGTCCTCCTTCACCTGGCAACCGTTTCCCTCCTCCTGAACTGACGACGCCCTCTCCACCGGTTCCTTCAGACGCTTCACAGCTGCACTTCTCCAGCCTCAGACTGATGAGGGCAGTGTTGTTCTCCAGCCTGGACAGCTTCCTGTCACAGTCACTTGCTTTGTCCTTCACCAGTCCAAGGTCCAGTTCCACATCTAAAATCCTGAAGGTCTGGTCATCAAACCGGTCCAGGAAGACTACACGAAGGTCCTGCAGCTCCCTCTGGACGTAGTCCTTCAGCTGGGTCTCCATTTTGGAGCAGCACTGGTCCCTCTGACGCAAACTGTTGTTAATGCGAAGATCCAGGTCCTTCAAAACACTGTCTAACCAGCTATCCCCACCTCCTCCAGTCCCCCCACCTCCACCTCCTCCAGTCCCCCCACCTCCACCTCCTCCAGTCCCCCCACCTCCACCTCCTCCAGTCCCACTACCTCCACCCCCTCCCGTCCCCCCCCCTC